TTTTTTTATTCTCAATTTTGATGCAATTGGATATGTAAGATCAGTAAAATATCAAAGTAGATAATATTTTAACAGTATTTCTATATTCATAAAATTTAGGTATTATTATAATAAATGTTGTTGGGCCATCAGGCATTGCTTGAAGATTGGGATACATTCTGAGAAATGCATCATTAAGATATTTTCTCACCATGAAAACGAACTTATGTAAGGGTAGTGGGTATGACCTACTATACCTCACCCTACCTGGTATAGTGGGTCTATTGCTTGTAGACTAGAAATCTGTACAGCATGCTACTATACTGAAGATTGTTGGCAATTGTAACACAGTGATAAGTGTAAAGTATATCTAAACCTTTCTAAACACAGAAAAGTTGCATTGAAAACAGAAAATAGGGTGGGTTGTTGACCAAAATGTCATTATGCAGGGCATTGCTGTATTAGAAATAATATTAAGTAAACTCTACCAATGATTTAAAGTACTCTAAAACCTAATATCTGTTAATTTTTATTCATTTATTCATTTATTTATTGAGATAGGGTCTCGCTCTGCTCCCTGGGATAGAGTGCAGTCCCAGCATGACTCCTCAGGGCAGCCTCACAGTCCAGAGTCAAAGTGAGGCTCCTGCTTCAGCCTCCCATGTACCTGGGATTACGGGTACGTCCCACCCTTCTCGGCTAATTTTCCCATGTCTTGTAGAAATGCAGCCTCACTCTTGGTCATGCTGGTCTCAAACTCTTGGCCTCAATCCATTATCCAGCTTCAGCCCCACAAAGTGCTAGAATTATAGGCGTGAGCCACGGTGACCCACCTAGTGAAACTTTTCACCTCTGACAGAACAGGAGTTTTGGAGGCACTGCTTTTACTACAAGGCTTCCCCCATCCCTGATAATTACTAAATCTTTCTCTTAAATAAATGGAAGTGGGCATTTTTAGAAAAAAGTACTAGAATGGATTTTTTTTTTCTTTTTAAAAACCCTTCTTTGAAAGGAAAAAAAAGAATACAACACGAAGTTGTTTTTTTCTAAGCTGCAGGATAATAAATTAATTGCAGCACAATATGAAGTTGGTTTTTTCTAAGCTACAGGATAATAAACTAATTGCAGCACTCCAGTTGTGATTGCTCCTCTTCTTTGCCTAGCTCAATCCGTTTTCTTCTGAGTCTAAACGGAGGCACGTGTCATTTATTTTTTTTCCTCCTTTTTTGACATATTATTTTGCCTTTAAGAAACAAACATTAAATTTTGGCCTCTGATCTTTTTGATATACAAATAGTTTGTTAATTTTATTGCAAAGCATGTAGTATCATTCTTACCAAAATATATTTATTTTGTGTGCAGTAAAGTGTCCTAATTTTCATTGTTTATGTTTTAAAACAAGTGGTCTAACACCTGCAAGTTTATAGCATCATTCTCATCTCACTTTGACTTCATCACCAGGTCTTACATGCTTTTATTTATACTTTGTGCAGCATAGGTCTCTATGTTATATGATAGCAGTTATATAAATTAAAATTTTAATTTTTAAGTAGTGATATCTGAGTGATCACCTTGTAAATAGTGTAATTAGTAACATTCAAAACAATGCTTGTAAGCGTGCATTCATCGCAAAAGTGATCATATAATTTCAACCCACATGCACCTGTTGCAATGTTATACACATAATATTAAATCTGAAATTCAATATGAAAATAAGTAGATGTTCACATATGCCCTGTTAATATATGCTACTGTGTGGTATTAACATTACACTGTAATACTTTATTTAAATAAGCATCGCATTGTCCTTTTCATAATCTGATATTCTCTCCTTTAACATGTTACTCTGTGCTTTTTTTTTTCCATTAAAAAGACTTTACAAGTTTCAACATGTTTATCATATAATTAAACAATCAAAAGATAAAAGAAAAAGGGGACTAAGAATGGTGTTAGTCAATATATCAAACTCTTTATTAATTATTAAATCATTTAATGAAACTTTATTGTTTTTCCTTCCATGAATATCAGTTGGCTTGTGCACATTCAATAAGCAATTAAACTCTGAAATTACGTGACGTGTTTATCATAAAGCATGGGGGAAATTTTTCCTACCAGGTATAACTGGGTATCTGAATGTAAATCACTTAGCTTATCAAAATAGTATTTAATATTTGAAAGAAAGGTGGGAATTTTGTTTAGAATTCCAAAAGAGAATGAATGATGGGAATGGGAGGAAAAAGGGCTGAAAGATAAATGAATTCTATCATGTTCCAAGTTTATCAAATGCGCCAGGATATAAAAGTTTATCGGCTATTGGTAGAAACTCTAAACTTTCAAAAATATAACTTTTACTATTAAACCATACAAAAATTATTTTTTTGCATTTTTAGCTAAAGTTTGAAAGAAGTATCAAAAATACCTAGTCAATTTAAAAAATAATTGCACAATATAATGATTGCCTGTGCTAAAATAATTTATTAAAGAGCTAGTTATTTGTCATGTGTGGATAGTAATCAAATTTTCAAAATAGTGGGTCAGAGAGGAATTTCTTTTTTCTTTTTGGCTGAG